CATAATGACTTGTGTAAGGACTTGGACATATTCTCCCACAGTCGATACACCTACTTATTTAAATATTTGTAAGGACAAACTGAATATGTTGTTTATTTAAAAATCTTATTCTTAATATTATGTATGTGTAACATGATTTGTACTAATTAATTATTATTATTATTTTTTACTATAGTTTTTGAGTAGAGTTTGATTATTTTTTCTAGTTTGTTAATTTAAAAGTATATTTATTTACCTCGCAAATGTCGTGTGTGGCTGTCATAGGAGTGCAAATTAACTCCGATTGTAGTATAAGTTAATTTTAAGCAATGTCTCAGTTTGTACTCTGTAGCTATGCCATAAATAAATAAATAAATAAATTATTTTTTAAACTGTCTTTCTCTCTCTTTAGGAAGGTATAATGACAACGCCGAGTTCAACGAGTAAAAAAAAAAGAGGGGAGTCATGGACTGAAGATGGAATGAGAGCTGCAATTAAAGCTGTGCAAAGATGTCAGCTCACTCAGAGAGCTGCATCTACAAGTTATAATATACCACGACGAACTTTAAGGGACCATTTGAAAATAGGAAGCGTTACAAAGCGTTTGGGGCGAAAACCAATTTTTACAGATACACAGGAATCTGATTTGGTTGCAAGAATAAAAAGATTTGCAAAAATTGGAGTACCCCTCACACCAAAATTCATTAGAAAACAAGCGTACCTTTTTTGTGAGAGATATGATATAAAAAATAACTTCAATGAAGTAAAAAGGATAGCCGGTGCCGATTGGCTAAGACTCTTTTTGAAACGCAATCCATCAATCAGCAAAAGGAAGCCACAGATAATGAATCCAGCTCGAGCTCAAAAATTAAACAAATCCATCGTGGAGCAACATTTTCAGGCTGTGAAAAAGTTATATGATGAGTTAGACATCCTACGACATCCGGAGATATTGTACAATATGGATGAAAAAGGTTGCCGTATAACTGTACATAAACAACAAACCGTGTTGGCGGAAAAAGGAAGTAAAAGAGTTCATCTTATCGCCCCCGAACACGCAGAAAATGTGACTATAGCGATGTGCGTAAATGCCATCGGTACAGCAATCCCGCCAATGATATTGTTTAAAGGGCAAAGACAAAGACCTGATTTGTCAGAAAACTTACCAGCTGGGACACTAGTTAGAATGGCCCCGAAGGTAGCATGACGTCTGACTTATTTGTTGAATTCATTAAGCACCTAAGTCAATTCAAGGTAGCTGGGAAATGTTTGTTGGTTTTTTATGGTGCTAAATGTCACCTCTCATGCGAGGCACTCGATGAAGCTGAAAAAAATGACATAGTCTTGTATTGTCTCCCTTCAAATACTACGCATGAGCTTCAACCTTTGGACAAATCAGTAAACAAGTCCTTTGAACACCACTGGGATGAAGCTGCAATGAATTTTTTATATGCAAACGCAGATAAAAAAATGACCAAATCCACGTTTAATAAAATTTTTAGTCAAGTCTGGCCTAAATGTATGACACACAGCAACATAGTAAATGGTTTTAAGGCAACGGGACTCTTCCCTTTCAATCCTGAAGCAATCCCAGAAGAGGCATATGCTCCATCGATTTTATCAGAAATTCCTTGCTCTGCAATTCAGCAGCAACCAATGCAGGATTCAGATCTAGACGCTGATACAGGCAACTCAACGTTTCCATCAGATATTCCATGCCTCCCCGCTTGTGAGCACTCATGCAGGACATCGGATCAGAAGAAGACACTGCTAAACCGTCGATGTTATCAAAAACTCTACCCCCACCAACTCACAAACAGTTCATGTCAAACACTAGACTACTCGATTATGCTGGTAACTTTCAAGATATTTCTATACAATCAGAAGTAACTTTCAAAGATAGTACAAGAACAAAATCACGTCTTGTAGAATATAGTTCATCTACGGAATTTTCAGAAGGAGAAGAAGAAGAAAAAAGAGAGAAAGAAGATACCGGACCTTCTGCTTCATCACCTTCTATTTTAGCAGCAACTTGTTCAGCATTAGAAGCAAGCTGTTCAAGGTTGCTAATATCAAATGTTCAGGATAATAGAGGAATAAGTCCTATAACCAGTATTGCAAGTTCTGTGTCAGAAGTGGATTTTCACCTAAACCAAAATTATTCCAAACTTGCAGTAGCGGATGTATATACGTCATCTGAAGAGGAGAATGAAACTTCTTTTAACAAGGTATATACTACACCCAAAAAACAGACCATTTATAATTTATCGCGAGATATTCATAAAACAAATTCTGATGGTTTTACTTGTTCGGATGATAGTGAAGATAATCTTCCATTAAGCACATTAAATAAACAAAATAGTAAAACACCATTTCAAGAATTTCTGCCAACGCCCAAATATGCAGTTGTTAAAACTAAACATCCGCGTAAAAAAGCGATCAACTATAAAGGTCAAAGGATTACTAAGGATCTATTCGCAGAAGACAAAAATACAAAGCAAAGGAATATAAAGAAGGTTAAAAATAAAAAAGAACAGGAAAATAATGCAAAACATACGAAAACTCTAAGAGAGAAAAAAAACGAATAGAAAGTCTGAGAAACCAAATAAAAAAGGAAAAACCAAAGAAATTAAAAACAAAGAAAATGATAATACAGAAGAGTGGTATTGCCATGCATGCTGTAACAGTGAAATATTGTCTATGCGACAATGTAGCAAATGTAAGAAGTGGTACCATGAAGACTGTGTTGGTCTTACGAAAGATGACAAAGAATTTGTTTGCTCAGATTGTTATCACTAATTCTTAAGTTGCAAAGCAATCACAGACTGACAAATACTATGACTTAAGTTATGTATATACGAGAATACTAATTGTTATTAATAAATATGATACTGGGTGCTACTACCTCTATAATTTGTAAGTTGCCAGATCTCCTATAAAGACTTGTTATGAATGAGCGTTAAAGTCCCATCCTCTCAGGGCGCAACTGCTCTTCATAGTTTAATAACGCCCAATGTAGGCCAAGTTAAAACATTGTATTTTTTGAAAAAAATTACATTATTACGGTTAATGTGTATAATGGTTTATGTTAGAATTGAAAAATTATGTTTAAAATGATTGTTAACGAAGGGTTCAAGATAGTTTAGAGTCGTCAAGAAGTTTGATATTTTTTATGTTAAATGTTGATTTTAAATATTTCTGTTATGGCAATTAAAGAAATTTATATGCAACTATTGTGTTTTATTCGATATATGGCATCCATAAAGGTTGTTTTGCCATCCAGCATGTTATTTGGGAACTGGGCGCTAATTAACACATTATTTTTAATAACGCCCAATACAAGGTTTTTAAAAACATGATATTAGCATGAAAATCATAAATAGATATAGCACATAACTAACATGTTTCGACTCAGAAAACTATATTTATTATTTTTGTAAAATTACTTGTCACAATTATATGATATTTATAGTAAAAAAAAAGATTTCATGTTAGGTGGGCGTTAAATGCCTCGAGTACCTTAATTTGGAAATATAGTGTATAAATAGTAAACAAAGATTCGATTAGACTGCAGTTTTTGCGTTATACGTGTTATACGAAAATACGAGTTGATGAAAATAATACATATTAAATACATTATGGTGGGTAAAATACATAAATTAGTGTTGTGCTCGTGCATCACCGTTGTTGCCCCGCCACACGCATGACAGTTCAAATTTCGAGGGTTTTTATAAATACAATAGCAAGTAGGTTGTAAAAGCGCAAATATATTAAAACAGCTCAATATAAATGTAAGAAGCACCGACTCATGAGCTCGGGGAGCGAACTTCAGCGGGCCCAAAAACCTTTGTAATGTCGGCCTCACAACGGAGACGGTGCGCCGGCGCGCCGGTGTCTCGCCGCGCGTATACTCGACCGTCCCGGGTCCATATATAGCGCCAACGGTGTCGTTCACCAGATTTACGGGCTTGGTAGAATAGTGTTCTATTCGTCTTTGTCAGGCGCTCATTTACGAAGAATTTGCATGGCTCGGCCTTCAGTCCCAAGCCTTCAGTGGACACACGACGACGCACTCGCGCGGCGCGCAGCAGGCCGTCGCGCACGTCGCGGCGCGCTAGCCGTACGGCCAGCGGCCGCGGTCGCGCCCCCGGCTCGTGTCGCGCGCCGCCCACACGCGCACATCCCACTAAATCCCGCTCGTCAAGGGGTACTCCTAACTTAGTAGCACATGCCAAAGCGATGTGCGTTGGATTTTCCCCCCTCTCCTCCGGGATGCCGCTAATTTCCACCTCGTTGAGCAGCAATTCTTGGTCGCATTTACGACTTTAAACATAGTTTTTTTGTACAATTTATTGTATTAAACGAAATGAAGTAACATATATATTGCAAAATGTGAATTGTTCCGAGTTTTATCAGATTACAGCTCGAAAAAGTTCGAAACGTTTATTATTGTCTCGTCTAAAATAGAAAACTACCATTTAAAATGTATTTTTTTTGCTATGTAACCCCTTTGTTTACATTTTGGATATCAAATTATAATTCGTACTACAATGCATCTATTTTACAAATAATAACTTTATCGTAGTAAACTTTAAACACAGTAATGTAATGGGAAATGATTTTTTTGGGATCTAATTATTATTATATCTATATTTGATTTTTTTCAAACAAACAAACGCTTTGGGACCTTTACAGGCCCCGTGGTCACAGATGACACGAAAAAGAAAACTAAATTCCTATATGTAACAATCGCGAAAACTTAATTACTCGATACTGTAATATGATTGTTATATTAATTAGTTTTTTGCAAGAATCTAAGTACTCTCATCTAAATTTCAAATGATAAGTTCAATAACACAAAATTAAGTTTCAAGGTGTACTCACACTTTGCTAAGTCGCGCGCCCTCGTCATCGAGGTGGCTGCACACACTGGCCGCAGCTGTGAGCAGTGCCCGCGCGTCAGAACTGCCCGTCAGTAGAAGCTGCTCGTGGTACGAGTTGTAACGCACTGTCCACACCCTTTATTACAAAACAGTTAACACATAAGAATAGCACTCTTTCGTTTCTGGGTCATTTTGTTATTAATTCAAACAAAAAAGCTTTATTTGCCTGCAAAAACTGCTTTTGTGGTCAGGGCAAATTTCCGTGTTTCTCTTTCTTTAAAGACAAAAAGGGAACATTATATTTCACTTCAACAGTATATTTCAACTAAAATTCTACAAATTAATAACACCTAGAAATGTGTAGATTTGCGAGATTATGTAAAAACCACCATGATAATCACATAAGTAGGCAGCTATATAAATACCAGTGTGACAGCCACAAAAGCAAAGTTCCAGGGCTAGAGCTACTCTTTTCTACATACTTGCTGCTCAATTAAACAGAAGCGAATACTGTCAAACCAGAAACTGAACCTTTCTGAAAATTTGTTACATAGTGTAAAATTATATACAGGGGAATTTATTTCATAGTAGGTATTTACAATGCTTTTTATTTATCTATTTCTGCCGTCAAGCAGTAATGTCAGAATTACTGTTTTTCGGTTTTGAAGGGTAAGGGTGCTGGTGAAATTACAGGCACATGGGATTTGTCAACTTATGTCTCAGGATGACGGGCGCAGTGACAGTGTTTAAAGCTCTAATTGGCACCGCAACTGTTATGGACAGCGTGTAGCTTACTATCAGACACACACTTGTTCGTACCGTCACTTGATATCCTAAAAAAGGCACTTTAAAAAATATAATACAAGACAAAACTTATTACATAAATTTAAATACTAGAAAGTACTTAAAGTAGTGGGGCATCGTGCCTAGAGGGCTGGCAACATTTCCCCTTTGAATGCCTAAACTTATTCTTTGTCGGAAATATCTGCCAGTCTTGTCACCGGAGGCTTCTACGAGAAGATCTAACAGCTCTTTCGCTAGAAGTTTAGCCCGTGGCTCCCAGAGACCCAGGGTCTCAACAGCAAAAGGCACAAAGCTGCAGCACTGAGCAAAGTTAGCGTTGAGTTTTTTTGGTTTTCGGCCTCTCTGGTGACCTGCGCCATCTACGCTTGCAAAGACAACTACCTCCGTGGCCGAACGGTTACCTTGGACTACGACACAGAGGTCGCAGGTTCGATTCCCCGGCCGGGAGAAATATTTGTAAGGCCTACATTTGTTTCTGTCGTGAGTTTGAGTGTAATTTGTAATTGTCTATGTGTGTGTCCATGGCACCCGCGACACAGGGTTTCCTTAGTGCGGGGCTATGTTGAGTGTGTGTACATTGCAGGAGGCTGTAGTGTCCATTACATAGAGGTATTTAATAATAATATGAAATGAACAGGGTAAGTTGTATTTATTGAGATTTCTTGTAAATTAACTCCACTAGTTCTGCTACGATTATGAATACAAAGATCGTACACATAGAAAAATGTTCGCCGACCCGGTGGGACTTGAATTCTTGTCCATGCTGCACCGTAGCATTGGTCTAGCCTTCTGAACCATGGGGCCAGTTATCGAGTCGTCGAAATTCTCCAATGTGTTTTTTGTTATATATCTTTGTAGACTTCGGTGTTCGTCGCACCTAGTGACATCTAGTGAGAGATTTTTTAATAGCCTTCTCACCGCAGCGGATACCTTTACAGGTATCACAACTGACGCACATTTTTTTAATAACCTCACCGCAGTCGGGTAACTGTGTTTTTTCATATCAGCGATTACGCTATATCATGCTCTATGCATCTTTTTAACTGCCAGAGGACACTTATAGCTGCTTGTGAGGCTATCGCAAGCAATTATTATCGAGTTAATATTATTTTTAGTTATGTGTCACTAACCAATGTGAATGATCTGTCCTGCTAAAGATAGGCTCCTTGCCGTTTCTGTAATCCCAGATATTAAGTGCCGCGTCGTCGCCTGCGCTGGCTAAATGGAACTGTCTGGAAAACAAGTATTTATTTATTTAAACATAATAACAATGCCATTACAGGATTTTCCAAATTTAACAATGTTATGTTGTGCCGTAAAAAATGGAAGGAACATTTCGATAAAAGGTCACTAAGTAAAGGAATATGGTATAGAACAATACAACCTGGTTTATCGCGGGGTCCCTGATTTGCGGGGCTGGTCTAAGTAGGGAGTCCATTGTCTTGGCTCACATCGATCTGGGCATATTCCACTAAATAGTTCCAGTTATTTAATGAGGAAAGTTAATTCGCCTAAGTGCGAAGAGTGTGACCACGTAGAGGACGTATACCATGTGATGGCAGAATGTGTACGGATCGAAGCAGAAAGGAGACAGTTCTTTATGCGGTTCCTTATTCTTGAACGAGACAATGTCGGCTCATCCCTTTCAGCTGAGGCCAAGGCACTATATAAATAAGTATCCAATGTATTAGAAGACGTTAACAACGTAAAGCAGAACGATAGGGGTGGCATATTAGGCACTGTGTGAAAAAACTCTTTTAAATTTAAAATAATTATAAAAGACGACAATGTTATGAAGTACCAGAAATAAGGTGCAAAGTCACCTCGAATTCCGACAACAGAAATGCTATTAATTTATTCCTATTGCCCTTGTAAGAGGAGCAAACTATGAGATATTTGTATTTACTGATTTGTAAAATGTGCCCCGCGTGCGCCTCCTAAGACCGGCTTTTGGAACCACTACTATCAGTGTCTGAAGCTCTTGGGTTATGAATTCTCCTCCTTAATATGAGCAAGACATGTTTTGCCACGGTTAAATTTGCGACTCTAGTGAAAAGGGGCCTAAGTCAAAAAACCCAACTTTACAAGGAGACGCAAACCCTAACTTTACAAGGAGATGGGAAAGCTTAATATGATATTAAGCGTTAAGTGTTTTTCGCTTTTCCTTATAAAGTTGGATTTTATTAATTGTACCTTTTCTCACCAGAGCCACAGAAATACGCCTTACCTCTAGTTTATATTATATCCTACCACTCCCATTGGATGTAAGAACATAACATCAAGTGACGATATATACGAATGTTGGCGGCAGAAACAGGTAGGTAAGGTGGCAGTACTACTCTGGACGACCTACTTCACAAGGAGCTCTACTGCTACTAAATAATAATAATAGGATAACTAAGCAACAATACACTTAGTAATCCACTTATAAACGAGATTATACATTTCGACTCATCCGAAGAACAGAGTCCGATGTGATTATACAGCGCAAAGAGAATGAGTACGTTACGAGAATAATTTCCTTATTCAAACTAAGGCCTACGTAAAGATATTTTCAGAATTTATATATCTTATTTCATTTCGGAAATATACGATCAAACAACGGTCGATCTTACATCCATAGCGAAGAAGAACGAACGACATGTACTATGTCCTGAGAACAAGTAGTCTTACACATAGATCTTTGTTCTACGGATGAGACGATTTATTAGTTTCATTCAGTATTTTATGGAACTTTCAAAACGTGTTTTGAAAGTTACGACAGTATATGGTTTCATGTGCGAAATAAACGAAGTAATAATATGAATGACAGCGGATAAGTTATAGAAGACTGTAAAATTGTATTTACAAACCTGTTAGGATTGAAGTCGAGGTCCCTGGCGAGTTGTCGGTGTGCACTATCGATGCACCACGACGGCTTAGTGCAGTCTGTACGAGTGTCGTAGCATTTTATGTGTGTATCTTGGAGTAGTGCGAACTGAAAGAGAAACAAAACAATAGACTGGGGTTTTAAAATCGAAAATTCAAATTAAAATCATAATTTCTACGTGTTTCTAATTTATTTGGCTATTTCTTATTTACTTTACCATTCCCCTGACAATATCTATTTACCTGGTCATGTCCAATTTACCTCCTAATGTGCAGGATTAATCGCAAATTATGGGTTTATTTAAAATAACCCTCTAAAGCTCTCGCCATGTTCATTTCAACTATGTGTTTCAAGAGTATACTTAGTTTAATACATAGATTAAAATACTTATGTCACTCATAATTTAGAAAGAATGTTGCCCTTGCGATGTTTTAATTAAATGCCAATGCTGATTTACCGAACAATGTTTAATTTACCTGGCAATGTCGGCTTTACCTGACAATGTCTGCTTTATCTGGCGATGTGCAATTTACCTGGCAATGCTTGCTTTATCTGGCCATGCCTAATTTATCTGGTAATGTCTTAATTTACCTGGTAATGAAGTGTTTTATTGAATGTCAGGATGTTTCATCACCATGATATTCAATTATTTTTTGTGAAATTACTCCACTAGTTTGTTATAATTATTAATACAAAGAAAATTCCTTCGATCCGGCCGGATTCGAATCGACGTCTTCTAGCAAACCGTATCAGACGCTCAACTAAGCCACGGAACGAACCAGTGGACCTCACGAATTTTTCTATGTGCTTGTTTGTCGGATCTTTGTATCTGGTTTTTAACGGCTTTTTAGCCGTAGCGCGACACAGTTAGGCACCTTTACAGCTACTAGCCTTAGCTAGAGATGTCGCTATTCATCGTAATTAATTAACTGGTAATGTCTTAATTTACCTGGCAATATCTCTTTATCTGGCAATGTCTCATTTCTCTAGCGATGTCTAATTTACCTGGCAATGCCTGCTTTAGCTGGCAATGCCTAATTTACCTGGTAATGTCTTAGTTTACCTGGTAATGTCTTAATTCTAGGGTCGGCGGACTAAAGCACATAAGTCAAAAAAGTGCTTCATTATATATTATATAGTTATATATTTTTTGTGTTGTTTATAGTGTTATAAGATGTGAAGAGAATGATAAATTTGAAAAAGACGCCTCTAGAATAAAGTTACAAATTTATGAAGTGCTTTAGTCCGCAGACCCTAGAATTCACCTAACAATATCACTTTACCTGGCTATGTCTTTATGTGTTGTATAATTCAGTTTTCAACATAGTGAAAAGTGAACGTGATAATGTTTTTAGGTCCAAAATCATAACTATTAATAATTCATTGAAATTTAGTGATTGGGCGACTGTGGGAATTCACAAAAGTAGACATGTTAAACCTGCTTGGTTTCAATGGGAACATCCTGGCCGCTGTATGGTAGATGCGACAGTTATTCAAATAACTGTCAAAGTATTATTTGTCTGTGTCAGTCTGTGCTTTGTGTCAGTCTGTGCTTCTAAAATTATAATAGGTTATGGGTTAACTTTTTTTTTGGTTGCAAAAAAAAGTGCTATGGAAAATAAAAATACTCCATCGGTAAGCCTACCGGCACTACAATCGTCAGCCACCATTAGCAAGCTGACCGGGAAAAATTTCAACACCTGGGTTTTCAGTATAGAGTGTCTCCTTACTGACCTAGACCTATGGGACGTTGTAATAGCAGATGTCGACCTAGCTGACCCTCTCGCCAAGCGAAAGGATGCCAAAGCACGGGCGAAGATTTGCTTATCCTGCGACGAATCCGTCTATCCCGTAATAAGGTCAGCTAAAACTGCTAAACAAACCTTTGACTCCCTTAAAAAGGCGTATGCTGACAGTGGCTTGTCACGCAGACTAGGGCTAATGAAAAAGCTCTTAGCCAACGAATTTAGAGGAAACATGCAAGAGTACGTTAACATGGCGTTAGCAACACAGCAAGAGCTACAGAGCATAAACGCCGCAATGGACGACGAGTTTCTTGCCATAATTATGCTCACTGGCCTTCCGGAGCGTTACCAGCCACTAGTCATGGCGCTTGAAAACTCCAACACGAAGATCACATCAGAAAATTTGGTGCTGCTCTCCTAAAAGAGGACTCGTCTAGGGTTGTACGCGCCTCTACAAGTACTAATGTACATAAACCAAATGAGCCTACTGCTCTACATGTTAAGAAAAACGTACAAAAGAAAAAACTGTTCTGTTCGTATTGTAAAAAGTTAGGGCATGTTGTGAGTGAATGTAGAATAAAAAACAAGAAAGTTTCGGCAACGTGTATTTCAAATTATACATCACATATTACACTTTCATCTTGTTTCACTAACGCTCCTTCCACAGGTTCACAAGATTGGTTCATAGACTCGGGTGCGAGTTCTCACATGAGCAATAGGAAAGATTGGTTTGAGTCAATATCGTCTCATGTTACTTCTATTACAGTTGCCAACAAGGAGAAGCTTCTCAGCCATGGCAAAGGTACGGTAAATATACATATTTCCGACGACGTACATAAAATTAGTGACGTCTTATACGTTCCTGGCTTAGCTACAAATCTTTTGTCCGTAAGGACTTTAGTTAAAAAGGGTCACGATGTATTATTTACGACTAACGGCGGAAAAATACTTCACTCTGTCACATGACAAATACTGTCATCGCCACAGCCTCAAACCACAAAGGCATGTACAAGCTTGACGTACAAAATAGTTCGCATGCTACGTACACACATGCCAAGGAGCCTGCATTGCTCTGGCATAGGCGTCTCGGTCATCCGAATGCAAAAAGTTTGCGTATTTTGAAAAATAAAAATATCGGCGTATGTTTTAGTGGGAATTACAATGATAAGTGTATTCCTTGCATACAAGGCAAACTAGCAAAGAAACCTTTCCCAAACTCAAAAAGTAGATCGAGTAAAGTCCTACAATTAATTCACTCGGACTTATGCGGACCGATGAGTACGCACTCGTGGGGCGGAGCCCTTTATCTATTAACTTTTACAGACGACTTTAGTCGCAAAACGTTTGGATATCTTTTAAAATCTAAAGCCGAAGTTTTTACAAAATTTATAGAGTTTAAGCATTTCATGGAGAATCAAACTGGAGAACGAATAAAAGTTCTGCGCTCAGATAATGGTCGCAAGGACATGTCTACGTTTCTTAAGGAGAACGGTATCGTGCATCAAACCACAATACCGTACACTCCACAACAGAATGGAGTATCCGAACGCGCAAATCGAACCATTATCGAAAAAGCCAGAACAATGCTCCACTGGAAGGCCGCTAAGCGTGTTCTTCGGTACCTTAAAGGCACCAAGGATCACCGACTACATTTTAAACCATCAGGTCAGTTCCAACCCGTGTGTTATGTTGATGCCGACTATGGAAACAATCTTGTGGACCGACGTTCATACACCGGTTTTGTATTTTTATTGAACGGTACCCCTATATCATGGGAAGCTCGCAAGCAGCGTACAGTAGCGCTTTCCACGACAGAAGCCGAGTACATGGCTCTGGCGGAGGCTTGCAAGGAGGCTATTTACCTCAAATCGTTCATAACCGAAGTATTCGCCGTCACTCCACAACCCATCATCATACACACTGACAATCAAAGTTCTATCAAATTAGCACACAATAACACTTATCATGCACGCACCAAACATATTGACATTAAACACCACTTCATCCGCGACTCACTTATATTACATAATCTTCACCTGAAATACATACCCACACAAGACATGATTGCGGACATTTTCACAAAACCGTTGCCGAAACTAAAGCACACCAAATGTGCACACTTATTAAATTTAGGTTAAGGTTTTCTTTTTCTTTTTTTCTTTTTTTTGAACCGCTTTGTTGTATGTATATAGGGTGTGTAAGTTAGTCATAGGTAGGTGTATATACAGGTTGATATTTTTATATTCAATGTTTATTGGTGTGCAGTGTTTTATATGTATAATTTAAGTGTGTGTTCACTTTGTTATTGTCAACAGGATGTTCACATTGCGGGGGGGTGTTAAACCTGCTTGGTTTCAATGGGAACATCCTGGCCGCTGTATGGTAGATGCGACAGTTATTCAAATAACTGTCAAAGTATTATTTGTCTGTGTCAGTCTGTGCTTTGTGTCAGTCTGTGCTTCTAAAATTATAATAAGACAAAATCTTTACGATAAAAGGACTTATAACACTAGTAACAGTTTTAATGATTTTGTTAGGAAATATTCGAAAATGTTTAAACGTGTTTGTGTTGCAGCCAAAGCAGTGTTTATAAATAATAAAATAAAAAGCAGCGCGAATGTAGTAAAAACGACTTGGAATATTATAAACAGCGAAACTGGAAGGGTCAAACCTCGTTACTTAGATTTTCAACTAAGATTTAATGACAAAATTGTAAACACAGACGCAGAAGTTGCTAAAATATTTGATATTTTTTTTACTGACATTCCAATTTTGACTACTAAGTCGTTAAATTCATCTCCCACCACCGCTGAATCCTTACTAAAAGAAAATAATGCAGTTAGTATCACTAATTTAAGGTTCCGTCATGTATTTCCAAACGATATTGTTAAAGCCTTTAAGTCTATAAACATAAAAAATACTGCTGATCTTGATGGTCTTTCAGTCAGAGTAATTAGTTCTATAGTTGATTGCATTGCGCCTGTGTCTTTAATAAATGTGTTGATGATGGTGTCTTTCCTGACCTCATAAAGCAAAGTAAAGTTATTCCACTTTTCAAATCTGGTAGTATTTCTGACCCCACCAATTTCAGACCTATATCAATACTACCAAATCTCAGTAAAATATTTGAAAAATTTATTCTAAATCAGATGTGTGCACATTTTTATAGTAATAATTTAATGTCTCCTAAACAATTTGGTTTCACTAGGGGTCGCTCTACAACCGACGCTGGTGTTGGGTTGATTAATCATATATTTGATGCATGGGAAGTCTCACAAGATGCTATTGGTGTATTCTGTGACCTTTCCAAGGCTTTTGATTGTGTGCACCATGATACACTGGTCAGGAAACTTCGCCATTATGGTGTGGCGGGACGTGATCTCGATCTTCTTAAATTGTATTTGCGTGGTAGGGTACAGAGGGTCGATGTTAACGGTACGAGATCATCAGGGTCTGCAATTAGCATGGGTGTCCCTCAAGGTTCAATTCTAGGCCCATTTTTGTTTTTAGTTTATATTAATGACTTACCTAGCCTTATGGAGGGTATAAAACATGAGATAGTATTGTTTGCTGATGATACTTCCTTATTATTTAAAGTTAAAAGGCACCAATGTTCCTACGACGATGTGAACAATGCTATATCTAAAGTAGTTGATTGGTTTGCTGTTAATAACCTACTTCTTAATGAGAAAAAAACAAATTGCGTGAAATTTACATTACCATACATCTAACATATGTTAGAGAGACGGTTACAAACATTGTAGTTAGAAATGAAAATTTGAATCTTGTGGATACAGTTATATTTCTAGGTATAACGTTAGATGCTAAATTGCAATGGGGTCCCCATATAAGTAAGTTATCAACACGGCTCGGCTGTGCAGTGTACGCGATTAAAAAAATTAGGATACTTTCAGATGTCGAAACCGCTAGATTGGTTTACTTCAGCTACTTTCACAGTCTAATGACATACGGAATTTTGCTTTGGGGTAATGCCGCCGATATCAACAGAATCTTTGTCCTGCAGAAACGTGCAGTTAGGGCAATTTATAATCTGGGCCCCAAAGTATCTTTGAGAGATGAGTTTAAGGAAATTAACATTCTTACACTAGCCTCACAATACATTTATGAAAATGTAATTTATGTTAAAAGGAATAGTAATTTCTTTATGAAAAATAGTGACAGACACAACATTAATACGAGGAATAAAAATAAACTAGCTTTTCTTGATAGTCGTCTTCACAAAGTCAAAAAATCATTTAAGGGCAATGTATACGCTTCTATAACAAGATTCCGGTTGATATACAAAATTTGACTTTCACGAGGTTTAAAACTATAGTGAAACAAAAACTTTATACTAAAGGTTATTATACAACTTCTGCGTACTTGGATGACAAAAATCCGTGGCAGTACCCGTTTAGCTCATGGAGGTAGTCTCGATCTCTGATGTTTCAAATAAAAATAAAATATTGTAAATGTTATTTACAAAGAGCAACCCCTAGAGTTTCTTGGTCATTCTTCTCAGGGGGATCTGCCTTACGAATGAGCGGTAGAGTTTAACCATTGTGACGATTTCAAGTGTAATAATGCTTACAAGAAATAAAGATTATTTTGAATTTGTCTAATTTACCTGGCAATGTCCTTGGTGCGGATTCCATTTGCCCCCTGTGAACTTGAGCCGGGCGCGTCTCTCTGGGGCCACTGAGACGACACTGTCACCAGTCGTAAGGTCGTGTACCGACATATTGTTGTCGTATACAACACCGATGCGATTAGAGTCTGTTGGATGCCATTCTGCGCAACGGATTTCCTCGTCCGATTTCTACGATTTAAAAAAAAAATAGTTGTAACTTTTACGGATTAACTGATAGGAGGTAAACGTGTTACGGCAACAAATTTACGATTAGCCACTTCACATCTTGAGCTGTATTATATCTCGGGTCAAATTCGTTCTACCAATGTGTCATAGTCACTTGTTTTACGATAATTCACACAGTTATAGGGTTTTGCCTCGGATCCCTCGATATACATAATACTTGATTTAAATTTGATTATTATGTCATTTGCTTTTCCATGCGATCACTAACAAATACAAATAAACATACCAGAGGTGATACTGTTTTCAAGAGCTCCATATCCTCAGGATTCCTGCCTTGAATTGCACTCAGGTCATCCAGATCCTTAGGTATCACCTAGGGATGAAAACAAACTATTGTTTATTATTAATCATAATATAATTTGTATAAATAACATATAATTAACAATAATAATTTGTGCGTTAGTAGTAGTGTGTAGTTACGCACACGTAAATATAAAAAAATCAGTAGTAACAACAGAACACATGAAAACTATTTTTTACATTTTAGAGCCAACAATAAGACAGTTTTTAGCATGATTTAAAATGAGGAAACTTCAATCTGTCTGGAATTACGTGGAAGTTTTATTTAATCTTCTTGCAATTGTTGCATTCATTATTAATTAATTTTCTTAAAGAAAACAATTTATATACACTTTATAATTTGTTTGATAACACAATTCAACTAACTCAGTGGAGCAAATTGTAAACATTTTTGTGTTGTGAGTGTTTGTGTAGGTATAATAAAAATTATTTTATATTCAAGATAAATGACATATTTATATATAGATATAACTATTTTCAGTATTGTAAAGGGAATAAAACACAAGTAGACATCTTATAAATCTATATCTTCATCTCACTCTAATATATTACAGTTACATAGTGTTCTCCTTCGCACTTAAACTTGTATTCTTCCTCGGTTATATTAATTAATAACCGAGGAAGAACATGGTATAGTAAAAAAACGTTTTTTATTCTTTCTTTTTTTTCTGATAACATGATTGCAGTCAGCCCCATATCTTTCTACATTAGTTTTGATTATAGTGACCTTCTTTACCGACCCTTAGGGTATACGAGAAGAGCATTATGACATGCACGAGCTTGCACAGGGACCGACTAAGTCAGGTCATCCCAGATCAGCCCGTTTGCACGGACTTCATCTAGTTCTCTGTAAGATTAGTGCCTTAAGTGAGCCGCCTCGGGTGCATGTACAGCACCCTCCATATTTTCCAAATAGGTACCGCAGCTGTAGCGACGCTCACATCCCGTCGCTTTCTGCTGGATTAACCTTCGCATAATTGCAGTCAGTAGACTGTCTGATGTGACGAGTGGTATCTCATTCTTTGCAAGGCCTTTATGCCATGCCAGCGACTTTTCACTGCCGTGACTTTCGAAACGACATTTTGTTTAAATCCACCTTTTAATGTTGCTTGTTTCTTTTTGTCTTCGCTGGTTTTCTTTTTTTATTTAAAATTTATGCAGAATACTGCTGTACTTTTGAACTGCATTTAATGACTTAAACCATTCTCTACCTGTCATCGATCGGGACACAAAAAAGTTAGACTGGTGCAAAAATCATTCAAACCAGATTACAACCTATATATTACAAATAATAAATATGGTTTTAGTAGCAGTAGAGCTCCTTGTGAAAGAGTTCGTCCAGAGACATACTATCACCTTGGCTATTTCTGCCGCGAAGCTGCAATATCAGCATTACTGTGCTCTGATTTTGAAGTGTAAGGATGCTAGTAAAAGTGCAGGCACATTTAGTGGCAGTGCGCCTCAAGTCTTTGCGATTTAAAGCTCTGAGTGGCACAGCAGCTGTTATGGATGGGTGTGTAGCTTACCAGCAGGCACAGGACTTGTTCGTTTAGTCACTTGATATTAAAAAAAATAAAAAAATGGCATAAATGAAATATAATACAAGCTGGTGGTGAATCTGACTACTTGCTGTTTTTCACTACATGGCCCTGTCGCGTGTTAGCAACTCAAGAAACCTGTCTGCTTTAAACTGCGGATGTTATATGTTTACATTTATGAAATAGTGGGCACTGCCAGTGTAACATAACTTTAACAGTATGGATGGAAGTACAGTTGTAACTCACCTCCAATGTAGGTAACTTAAAAATAGACACCCCCATAGTGCACTGCGCCGTGTTTGGGTCATACGCGTTGTGTACTGTCATTAGTGTTGCAGCATCATGGGGAGAGCAGCGCAGGTGCCATATCTCTCCGATCTCGTGTTTGAATACCTGTAATATACATATAACTTATCCATAGCTGAATGTCATTTGCCAATGAAATCTAGTAAGTTTTCCATAAACCACAAACCACCTTAATTTCCTTACTGTTATTAATGTCTCCGTGGCCGAATGGTTTGCCATGCTGGTCTGCCACGCAGAGCTCCAGGGTTTGATTTCCAGGACAAGAGAAATATTTGTATGGCCTACATATATTTCTTTTTTATTATATATTAGGGTGTAATTTGTAGTTGTGCATATGTGTCCATGGCACTCACAAAACAGGGTTTCCATAGTGGGGCTATGAGTGTGTACATTATTGTTAATGTCATGTCGATAGTGATTATGATATATAGTGATATGGGCTATAATAAGAGTAATATAAGATAATTCATTATAATTTTGAATATAACTACAACAGTAATATAAGAAATAATACAAATATAATACACAATTTTTTATGACTTGTAAATGTTAATTTTGGCAATAAAGAATGTCTAAGGGTCGCATTCTAGAACTGTACTCAATGCTCAAGTCAGGATTTGAGTATGGTTTAAAGCACTCGAAATCACACTCAAGTCCCTGCCATTAGGGTAGTATTTCCAGTGCTTGTGTTGCCAGTGCAATCTTGACTTGAGCATTGAGTACAGTTCTGGAATACGACCCTTAGGGTCGTATTCTAGAACTCTATTCAATGCTCAAGTCAAGATTTGAATATGGTTTAAAGCACTCGAAATCATACTCAAGTCCCTGCCATTAGGGTCGTCCAGTGCAATCCTGACTTGAGCATTGAGTTGAGTTCTAGAATACGACACTAGGTGTTGTTGAACTTACATGTAGCGATCTGTAACCTTTGATGCTTGAGACAGCACATTCTGCAGATATCCACCTACACCACGGTACTTACCTTAGTGTGTAGAGCACCAGTATCTTCCTCAAGCTCCACAACGTGTACTTGATTCGACTGTGGTTTCAAACTTTGAGTTCCAATTAAAAATCGGATAGCTTCACTTTCACCATATTGCGGAGACAATGCTCTTGTCTGAGAATAAACATAATGCAAATTCAATAATTTTATTGTGATATACAGGTTATAAAGGTATTACGAAAACGCATTTTGAATGTGTGATCCACTTGCGGCACAAAATTTTATTACCTATGTAATCGAACTATTCACAAAAACAAAATATTATAATAATTATAAATCGACAAGTTATTATTATTATTATATTAAGGGCTAATTTAAGAAAGATAAATAAAAAAGTAAATTTTATAAAACTCCAATAATAGTTTTCAATATTTAATGTTACAAGTGGCAATTATGTTGAAAAAATGTAGAATACATTTTAGACCAGGAGGAAGCCAACATTTTCGCTAAAAGGGACTATAACCTATTCAATACTAAAAGCGAACAAATTTAAGTGAGTTAAAAATTAAGTTTATAGCCTAAAAATGAAATTGTAGTAAATACTAAATACCTGATGTTCTAAACCATATATAATTGAATTTCCTTCCTCCATTATGCTTAAAAAGTTCGCAGAAAATATTACTTGTTTTCGATATAAACATCTATAATAAATTATGTCACAGTATTTAATATTTACTGATATTGCAGAGTATTGCTTATTGTATCTGACGGCCAAGTCATATGTTTGACTATCGTTTATTTATTTAGAAATTGTCTTTAAATTACAAATCAAACTGACACCAACACTAAAAGCAAACAATACATTATTATTAAAAAGTTTGTTATAGTGGCTGTGGTTAAATACACGAAGAAAATGAATTGCTTTGTAGAACACTTCCATCAAATTTGACAGTGACAGTTAGATGTGAATGGTTTTAAACCTTTGTCTTGTTCTTAGCGTTAGCGGAAAGAATTTAAAAATAACAACCAGCCAGTCTGGCTATCCCGTTCATTTAGTAGAAATTATTAAAAGTTTTCAAACAACAATACCTACAATTAAAGAATTTAAAAAGTTAAGTAAAGTTAGATAAAGAAATAGTTTTCCCCAATTAATAATAACGCTTGGTACTTCCATAAGCTGGAAGCAGGTTACTGTACAACTAGGAATGTTTCAATTTTTCCTTGTGCAGGGTCAATAACAAGAAGTTTACTCTCAGGGTGCATTTATTCGACACAAATTACAAATTAGAAAGATATACACAACTTGGTACTTGGTACTTGGTGTAACGGGCTGGTGTCCGCATCTCGACGTCAAGGCGCCTATTTTGCGTGAAGATATACACAAATTTCAACGCGCTCATCCCGCGCGGAGACCGCGTTGCCGCCGCGCAGCGACCGCGTGCACTCTAAGGACCGTATTCTAGAAATCTACTCAATGCTCAAGTCAGGATTTGAGTATGGTTTAAAGCACTCAAAATCATACTCAAGTCCCTGCCATTAGGGTCGTATTTCCAGTGCAATCCTGACTTGAGCGTTGTAGTAGAGTAGAGTTTTAGAATACTCAATGCTTAAGTCAGGACTTGAGTATGATTCAAAGCACTAGAAATCATACTCAAGTCCCTGCCATTAGGGTCGTATTTCCAGTGCTTGTGTTGCCAGTGCAATCCTGACTTGAGCATTGAATAGAGTTCTAGAATACGACCCTAACTGTCATGGCAAAGCGCGCTTTATTTAATTAGCTTTTACGTTTTAATTTAAATGAGCATCCCGGGCGTGCGGACGAGTCTGGCTTGTCTTTGGTCTACGCTGCGACCGCGCGGTTGTTTTTTTTCAATTAATCAGAGGAATTTAAATGTTGTTGCTTAATAAATAGAATTCAGATTCGCCATTAATGTACGGGAAAGCGTGAAAACTGCGCGGCGGTCGCGCGAAAACTTTCGCGTCGTGTAACTGGGTGTTTAGGATTTACTCAACCTTTTGCAACTAATGATAAGTACGGCCCAAATCCCCAAGTGTCAAGCTTGATGACAGCACAACATGGACACGCTGTACATAACATAATATTTCAATGCGGTGTGGCTCTATATGGCATTGTCTTTGACATAAACACTTTTTGGGTATAGTAGTGCTCTCAGAAAAAACAAAATTCTGCCTAGGTTAGGGTTTCTTAACCTTTTTCTGGTCATGGATCCCTCTCAAAACGTCAAAGAGCCCATGGAATCTTTCCGAAAAGATGATGAGATGATGAGTTCGCTACAATTATGGATGGCCGTCAAAGGGCACGGATATTCTCATAACATATTGCATACCAATTTTCATATTAATGCATTATGTTCGCCATGAACCACCGGCGTTCATTACACGGACGACTTCGGGGTCCATGCAGTGGCGTAGCGTGAGGGGGTGCAGCGAGGGCCACGGCCCCGGGCGGCACTGCAATGTGGCGGCAGCAAGCAATAGTCAAAATATTTTTTTTTTTTACTTAAAATTGGAAAATAAAACGATATCCTGAACAATACAAAGGTGGCGACGGCAGGTAAACAGAAAAACACAATCGAGTCACGCCTGCCCGAAGGAACTACAATTGTAAAAGCAAAGTTACAATTGTTAAAGCAAATTCTATCAAGCAATGTCACGCACAACTTCGGAAAATAATAATACTTAATTTTTCCTCAATCGTCGATGTAGCAACTAGGTAGTACCTAATGAAGTAAGTGGCAAGAGATTATTTATAAATGATCACGATTGTAATCGCATAGGAAACAAAGAAAATTATGTTAAGTGCAAGACAATGAAAATTAAGCTGTTACAGGTAATGTTTCCTAGTCCGATGTTTATGGTGGCTACTCCGTAATTTAAATCTCCAACTCGTACCTTAGCTATTCTAATAAAGCCACATAATGTGATCACACGTCAAGAGTGTTTTATCCTATGAAAGTCATGAAAATAATAAGAACTACATGAAACAAATTATCTAAGTAATTTTATAACTCTGAAGAAATGTTGTCATTTTCCAGTAAAATATGGCCTTATTACCACTGGGTGCGAACGGTATCAACCAGTGTTCTACAGATCTGTTCTAACGAGAGGGTTTTGGAGGGGTATATCGAGTATCATGCCCCAGAGTGCTTTGTTTAAATATAACCATAGATAATACAAATACACTCACTATATTTGAGAGAGGCAAGTGCAGGCAAATGTTTGTGTAGTCAGGATGCGACAGACTGAGTTTAGTACATACCTATGTACCCATCTATTTACGTAGGTCATAGGCTATTGCTATTTGGAATACGCATTTTGTCCGCATTTTCGTGCAAAAAATATGAAATTTCATTATAGTATAGGTCCATCGTAGACACCGACCATTCCAGTTTTATTGAAGATCGCAAACGTTTTGGGCTCCGCTGAACGCTTTAGACATACGAACCAAATCGCTAAGTGCGAATTAATGAAAATGAATTATCAAAATTATCAAAGTCGCCTTTCTATTCCCAGGCACAGATGGTTGTAATTAGTTTGAAGCCATAGTCTGCTTCAGTATTACAAACTAATTATTCCGTAACACAATCTCTAATCAATATTGTTTAGCAATGCGCAGGATGTTCCCATGGCGGCTATCGTGGTTCCGGTTTAGCGTGGGATACCAGCTCTACGTCCGTTTGTGACTCACCACTCGTAAGTAGTTTCATGAATTTATTAATAATTTTTATCCAATTTTTGTAAACAAAATTATTATATTCAATAGGAAGCGAAGTTGTTTAAGGTCGGAAGTCGGGTCAGACAAGGAGGTCTATTAATGCCCTGTCTCTTTGTCATAACTAATGCATTTGCATTTCAGTAACTTTTGAGATATTGGTAAAGTTTTGTTGTCACCTTAAAAAATGTCTTAAAAAACGTGAACTAAATAAGATTTTTTTTAGCCGTTTGGAGTTGACACTCAAGGCGGTCTCCGACTGAGGCGATACCAATCTTATCAAATTGAATGCTACCAAAACGCAAGCGTGCTGATTCCCCATAAAACGGAGTCCCTTTCACCTAACTCCGACTTTTCGTGATATATCCATACCGATAGCCGACCGCCTCCAGCTACTTGGAATGGACCTATCGTCCAATCTGAAACTTCGGCAGATACATTGAATCTATGGCCAAAAATCCAGCCAGGAAGCTTGGCATCCTTTCCAGGGTGAGGCGTTATTTCACATCGGGACAGTTGCCTCGGCTGTATCAAGCACTAGTCCGATCGTGTATGGAGGTACTGCTGCCATACTACTGCTACATACCAACTTGTCACCTTGGATTCAATTGACAAGCGTGTCAAGAGGCTCATAGGTGACTCGGAATTAGTAAAGGCGAAGATGCGTAGCCTTGAACACCGCTGTAAAGTTGCCTGCTTATCGGTACTTTACCGGATATATCACGTAGAGTGTACGAGGGAATTTCATGAATTAATTCCGCCTTCCCCTTTCCATCATCGGGGACTAGGCACAGGCTTGGATTCCACTCCTATGATGGGGATATTCCAAGGACGAAGCGTTGCACTTCCACATTTATATGGCTAACGGCTATGGAGTGGAATTCCCTGCCTGCGGATTGTTCCCTGAACGTTATTTAGGTGTGCATATGCTCCATCGTCGACCTCATCATCATTTTTCATCAGGTGAGATGGAGGTCAAATGCACACTTACATTTGAATAAAAAAAGATATTATAAATCGATTAGAGAGGATTGTAGATCTGGTTTCGCTGATCCCAGATTATATAATAACTCTATTTCGCTAAAAATGTCAACAATTCTGTGAAAGCTCGCGAACTCTCCGAGACTCACGTCCTTCATTGAGATGAATATAGGTCGATATTTCAGCCATAACCCGCGTTTGAGAGTTAGTCTGTCTTAAAAAAAAAAGCATTTGCCATAAACGAAGCCCCGCAACAATGTGAATTTTAATTTATTTGTGGTGAGAGTACCAACTCAACATATATCGACCTTTATGAAGGTGAACTTTTGATCGAAAGGTGTCATGTACCGATGTTTCCGAGGACGGTTACCGGACAACCACGTTGCGTCACACGTCGCAGTCCATACGTGTAAATAAATAAAAAGTGTTATTATATTATTATGTATGTTAGTCTATAATATATTTATTTATGGGTCATTGTGACCTGATCTAAAATAAATGAAGAAATAAATTATCACCACTCCTTTCTCTTAAGTTGGTGAACGTTACGAACCATACAGTTGCTTTATCTAATGTATATAATCAGGATGAATCAGGATTTTTAGTAGAAGTAGAGCTGGTTGTAAAAGAGTTCGTCCAGGGAAGTACTGCCACCTTACCTATTTCTGTCGCCAAACAGTGATGTGAACATTACTGTGTTCCCGTTTCGAAGGGTGCTGGTGAAATTACAGACACATGGGAATATCAAGTGACAGGGCGAACAAGTCGTGCACCTGATGGTAAGCAACATGCCTATCCATAACAGTTGCAGTGCCACTCAGAGCTCTAAGTTGCAAAGATCTGAAGGGCACTGCCATTTCGCCCATCACCCTGAGACATAAGTTTATAAGTCCCTTGTGCCTGTAATTTCACCAGCACCCTTATACCCTTCAAACCAGAATACAGTAATGTTGACATTACTACTTTGTGGCAGAAATAGGCAAGATATAAAAGGTAACAAATAATTAACAAACTCAAAACGTATTTAAACTAAAAATTTATTTGTGTAAAAACTAACTACTAAACCCGCAATCTCATTCAAACATAAGAAAGGAGAACGCGATAAATTCTTTTTGTAACAATGTTTTTAATTTATTTTACTTACCATTAAGT